TGTTGCAAGATGTCTTCCAGCTCCTCTCTCAACAAGCCAGCAAGGAGGGTGGAGTCCAGTGTCAAGCCTTGCATAGCTTGGCTCGTCTTGCTGGCTGCGAGACAAGCTGGCAGCTGTTTTGCAGCACAGCCTCTCTATGAAAAAGCCAGCCTTATACCCTGACTCTAGAAAAATCTTTTTTTTCTACATTTAACTTTCCAAAGAACAAGGTGCACGTCTTATCTGGGGACACGTGGCATGCAAGAAAATACAGTAGGAGAATTGGTTCCTAGGAGATCCCTAGCCAGCTGGGAGTGAGTTGAGAACTATGAATAGTTGGTCTAAGGTTGTGACAAGCGTATGGAAAGGTGATTTTTTTTTTCTAAACTAAACCTCAGCTTGATTCTGATATCCCACCCAATTTATAATAATTTAGCCCCATTTATTCAGTGCAGTTACTCCTGATTTACACTGCTGTCATATCAGAAAAGACCATATTTGTCCATTGTTGGTTAAAGAGGCTATGGCAAGATATAGATTTCATAGACATTAGGGCTGGAAGGGACCTCAGAAGATCATCGAGTCGAGCCCCCTGCCCAAAGGGCAGGAAGTCAGCTGGGGTCATAGGATCCCAGCAAGATAAGCATCCAATTTGCTCTTGAAGGTAAATATAATGCCCTGCACTGCCACGTAGGACAGTGTTCACCACCAAAGTCTTTCCAGTGTGAATTGCAAGGCGGGGATGGCACACACAGGATTCCCTGTGTCAGTGGGGGCCAGACTTTTCACCAGGTTAGCCTGGCACCCTCCTGAAGTGCCACTCTTATTCTCTTCCCCCATCCGCTCTGCTTTGTGCTTCCTGCCTTGTGCTCCCTGCTTGATCTGCTGCTCTGCTTTTTGCTCCCTGCCCTGTCTGCCACTGCGCTGCATGTCTCCTCCCCAGTTTGCCATTTGCCCCACACAGAGGTTGCCAGTGCCACGTGTGGCGTGCTTGCCCCAGGTTGGCTATCCCTGCCCTGCATTACTGCCCAACATGCAGTTGGGGAACCACTGACATTTTGCACACATTTATCTTCGTCTCATTTATATGACCCCATCCACAGTCACAGTGGTACTTTTTGCCTGCTACATGTGATATACAAAGCATCACTGAAATAATTAAATCCCTGGTGGTAAAGAATAAAGCAAGGGACGCATTGCCTATGATACTTCCTCTTCACAATGTCCCTTCAAGAATGAGTTGTATAGCAAGGAGTGACCCAGGAGTTCAAGATTTCCCTAACACTCTAGGTTTGCTTTGTTGAGCAGTGAAAACATGGATCCAGGAACAAATCCTGGCTAAAACATTTTGTGTGTTTCCTTTAGGATTTGATGAGAACCTGGATGTTCAGGGAGAGCTGATTCTGCAGGATTCCTTCCAGGTGTGGGACCCCAAGTCTCTCATTCGGAAAGGCCGGGAGAGGCACTTGTTCCTCTTTGAAATCTCTTTGGTTTTTAGCAAGGAGATCAAAGATTCTTCAGGACACACAAAATATGTTTACAAGAACAAATTACTGGTAGGTCTGCCAGGCATGAAAATATCCTGGACTCGCACTGTTTGTCAGTAGGGGTGGTAGTGGGTGGCTTGCTTCTTTCTGCAACAGGTTTGGGATGCATACGCACCTGGATCAGCAGCTTGGATTTCATCAGGACTCGCAAAGCCCGATTGGACTTGGAGTGTTTCTGGAAAGGTTAAAAATGATTGTGTGGGTGGGGGTCATCTGAGCCAGTCGGACACCTCTGCCTGGCAGCCATTGCTGGGTTTGCATTGATTTCATCAGGG